GTCTTGTATAATAAAAAAAAAAGAGATACTCAAAGGTCCAAACTTTGTTGGCCTACTAGGAAACTCAATGAAAGAAGCAATTCATATTGTAGAAATGATAAGAGAAGATGTAAAAGAAAGCAATAAAGAGTTGTGGTTGTTGATGCAAAACATGAAGAAGACATATGATTTAGTTTCAATAAAGTTATTGTAATTAGCATTACAGAGAATTAAGTTGCCAATTGAAATTGTAAGATTTATTACAAAGTTATATAGTAGAAGAGAAGTTAGTATTATAATAAAGTTTGGTTTGACAAAGACATTTATTGTTAAAAATGAGATTGAGTAAGGAGAAACAATTTTACTATTAGTTCAGAAAATATTTTATTATCTATTATTAAGAAGAATTCAAAATGGTTAGTGGTTAGAGTATAAAATTGAGTCATTCAAAGTACTAGACTTGTAAATAAACAGAGTTAAAGTTAAAAAGACAAGACAGGCTGCAGTGACATATGCTAATGATACAACTTGGGTGGCAAAGAGTAAAGAAGAGATGCAAGAAATCGTTCAGATTTTGCAAAGCTTCTTTAGATTCAATAACATTCAAATCAATAGTGCCAAGTCAAAGTTGTTGATAGTTAATTCAAAAAACAAAAGAAGCTAAGAAGTCTGTTCTGATAAACAATTTTTAACTACAAATTGAAGAAAAGTATGTATTGCTAAGAATACAAAAGGTATAGTTAAGTATAAAAGCAAATAAAATGTTAGTTGTCAAAAAGACAAGAAGAATTATATAACAGTATATGTATAGCATACAATTTAAGAAGTTAACTATTAGTCAATTAATATACATCAATAATATATGTATAATACCAAAATTGATATATATGTTGCAAACTACAAAAGTATCTAAAAAGAAGCTAATACATTTATATCAATCAGTAATTAGGTTAATCAAGAACAAAGTAGGATTGGCATCAATTACAAAAAATAGTGCAATTATGCATTAAGGTCTAGGAAGATGTAGAATATTAAGTTAAGAGATATTTAATAATCAATTGATATCATTACAAAGAAGATTAAATGAGCAGAATCAGATTGATGAAATAACAAAAATATAAGTAAAATAAGGCTTTACTTTGGCAGGATTAGTATCAGAAGAATTAGATACAGATTTGTTGAGTAACTTATAGCAGATTTGGAAAAGTAATTTAACATGTTTAGTTATACTTAAGGCAAAAGGAATAGGTGTAACAGTAAATGGAGAAGGTGATCCTTGGTGGGTTTATGATACAGATAAAACTTTATATAGTATAATAGAAAAAAAAAAGTTTAGAATAACATATAGAAGGTTGATGAAGTATAAATTATTTTTCATACAATAGTTAATTGATCGAGATAAGAAGAAAATGATTACATGAAAAAAGTTTAGAGCATTATAAACAAGTACACAAAAGAAATGAAAAGCAAAGTAGTTTTCAGAAATTGAACAGAAAATATTAAGTAATCAAGATGACAGAACAGTCTGAGCAGAATTTTAGATACAAAATATGAACATTATAACAATATGATCTATATACAAAAATTTAACACAAGATAGGAGAAAGCATGAATAGGTACTAATAAATAAAGAGAATATGAACTCGATGATAGGCAGAGTAATTAAAAAAAGAAAAAAAATATATTTATAAACTACTAGAGCATATCTAAAACTAAAGATCAAAATTATTTAGCACTAATTGAATATGAAAAGTATAACTTGGATAATAAAAAAGATGCAATCAGCTGTCAGCATTAGGTTAAGAAAAAAGAAATAGCAAACATACTGTTAGGAATTAGACAAGAGAACAATCAGAAGATTCCAGTTCTATTAAAAGAATTAAGTGAATATAAGAAAAATCATATAGAGAATAGAAGTAATAGTAAAAAAAAAATCATAAATAAGAAAATAGAAATATATATGTATGAGATTAGTCTGTTAAAAATACAAGGATTTGATAGTAACCTAGAAACATTATTATTGGAACAATTGGAAAAAAACATGAAAATAGATTATATAAATTACAGTTTTTATACAGACGAATCATTAGTAAGAGAGAAAAATAAGTATAAAATGGGTGCAAATTGGATTCAGGTTAGTAAAGATGAGAGCAGATTAGTAATAAAAGGAAAAATTAAAATAGCAAAATGGCCATCATCAACAAAGTCAGAGTTAACTGCAGTATGGATAGTGGTATTAGTTGTAGCATATAATAGTAAGATAGTTACTAAATTAGATAGTACAGTAGCAATTGCAAGCCTAAAAAGAGAAGAGCCACTATATAATATTAGAGTTTAGACTAAAAGTAAGAACTTTAGATTAGTTATAAAGATTAAAGACATGTGCAAATCGAAGAACATTAAGCTATCATTAGTTAAAGTTAAAATACATAGCAGAATATTATAGAATGAAAGAGCAGATAAGCTTGTGAAAAAAGGTATATAGCAAATTGAGATTACAGATTTGAAGTTTAAGAAAAATTTGAGATTTCTATATATATTATTTTGGAAAGAAATAGTAGTAGAGATACCAACAAAAAAGTTTATCAAGATATTAATAAACATGATGAATAGTGCTAAGTGGCATTGTTCAAATGCAATAAAAGAACTAGAATCAGATGCAGAAATACAATATGATTGGAGACAATTATAAAAAGAAAATAGAAATTTAATAGAAAATAAGTATAAATCATTAGAGAAGAATAAGAGAATCTTATTTAGAATTAAGTACATTACTGATAGTTTGTCAATACTTCAGGCATTAAATAAGAAAACATCAGATTTGTATAGTTCAGACATTTATAAAGAATGCAAAATATAGATAGAATTATCAAGACATTTGTTCATTTGTGAAAAATATAAGGATTATTGTAATAATATCAAAGAATTAGCATGTTGGTTAGTATAGAAAAAGTTCAACAAATTAAACAAATGCAAACTTATAAGACATGACTTAAAAAGAATATTAGTTGGTGAAACAAAAGTAGATAGAATTAAATATAAAGAAATATGTATACATGAGTTAGCAGTTGAGAGTATGTTTAAGGAGTTGTATGCTAAACAAGTTTCATATAAAACTGTAAAACAAAATATCAGATTATATGTTAAGATTGTAAAAGAGATGTTCAGAAAAGAAATTTGATGACAAAGATATAGAACAGTAGTTGAATAAAAGGAAGAAAATAAAATAATAATGAAATTAAAACGAAGAAGAGACAAGATAGTTGAAAATAGTGAATGCAATATAAAGAAACTGAAAAGTAAAGAAACATCAGTGAATAAGGTCAGAAGGAAGAAATACAAAGAAAGAAAGATAGAATATAGGCAGTTGTTTATGAAAGATGTAAATGAAATAATACAGAATAGAAATAGTCCATTCTTGACAAAACTGACAAAGTTTTCCAATCTAGGAATAGGTTGATATGACAAGTCACATTTAAGTGCAATCTTTGTACTTGAATGATGCTAGACTTGCAATTGCAAAGGTGGATTACTAGAAATAGACAATGTTTCAATTAGTAAAATTTTGTATTAAAGTTCTAACAAGGCTGTCAAAGAATAAAAAAAAAAAAAAAAAGTTATATAATAAAAATACCAAAGAGTAATTGTCTTATACTTACACTTTAAAAATATCTAAGTGTAATACAAGTAATAATCCTTAACAATTCAACATCTGATCTAGCCATATCATCTGTCATATAATGTGAACATAAAATTTTGATTTTTATAACTAAAACAATCAAACCTTATAAAAAAAAATATACATATATTTAAGCCAAGTATTAGCAAGAAAGAAATAAGTGATACCAAAAGAAAATTAGTTATTGAGCTTTTAAATTTGTAGCTTATAGTAAAGCAGCAGTCTGGCTAAACATTTCCAGTACCTTTAATATATACTACAGTTCTGTGCAGTCCAATAAACGGCCGTATATTTTGTTTTCAAGGCAAAGTGCGTCAGTTTTGTGATTTTTGGGAGATTCTTTTGCATAATAAACGTCAACACCTCTCTAAAGTTAATAGCGACGTCTGCGTTGATTTTTTATTAATGAAACGTTAAGTTCCTAAAAAGTGCTTTAAGTTTTGATTTACATCAGCCAATCAGACGAAATTCCTCCTATGAGAATCTTCTATTTTATCACATGATTATCAAATAGAGAATTTTTATATAAAAATTTTATATGGCCTAAACGTTAAAGCCAGGTGGTAATTTTTGATTACTAATTGATTTGTGACGCTCGATTTTCAATGTCGACTATAATTAGAACAGCTACTTCGTCTGTCGAAATTATTAAAAATCTTACTGTCAAAAATACTGTAGACTTTCGAAATGATTTATGGCAGTTGTTATTATAATCCGAAAGAAAATAAACGCACACAAAAGACCCATAGTAGAACATTCGTATGATTTGCTGATGTAAATCGATTGCTCGGGTAACTTATTTATACCTTTTAGAGTACTTTTTGATAACGTAACGTTTCACTAATAAATAATACAATCTTTTTTACTGTTAGCTTCACAAGAGCGTGAATATTCACAGTACGAGAACTTCGCTTTGAATAGAAACGTTTTCGTCTAAAGCTATAAATTTTTATTGCAATTTGAATAGGTACAAACTCTTTAGTAGTAGGATCTGAGTTAATGTTTACGTTAATTCTAAATTAAAGTTTTGATTTATATCTTGTAAATTTTTTAATGAGTTTGGGTTTATTAGTAATAAATATAATAGCATTTCCCCACTTTGCGCATGTCTATCTATTCTCTAGCTATATGTGATAAATTCTTTAGCGTATACAGTATTTATCAGTTTATAAACTTCTTTATATGTTTTTCTCGTTTTCTAGTATAATATAATATTATATACAGTAAAATTATTTTAAAAATTATGTATTTTGATTGGTTAATGTTAATATACAATTTTTGATTGTCAAAAAATCATTTTCTCCATTTAAATTTACGCCAAGAGCAAAATATTTTGACACCCATGTATAGATCTCGTTTACCAAAGGCAGCAATGACTTTGGTGAGTAGCGTCTCTTATTATGGATTGCTTTTAAACTTTTTGACGAAGAGAATTTACCTCTTTTTTTAACTAAGACTCCAGCGGCAGTAAACAAGCTCCGTCAATTTGTTGAGGGGCCTGAGCCAAAATTGATTCGTGTAGCTGTTAAAAACAAGGGTTGTGCTGGATTATCATATGTCCTGGAATATGCTAAAGAGAAAGGGAAGTTTGACGAAATGATCACGCAAGACGGTAAATTTTTCGTTATTATATACTTTCAACTATGAAATTTCTAAATCGTCAAAAGTTGATTATTCATTAAGATAAGTATATACTAATTTATTTAAATATATTGCTATTAATAGGTGTTACTGTTCTGATCGAATCGAAATCTCTTTTCAAAATGCTTGGTTCTGAAATGGATTATGTAGAAGACAAAATATCATCTAAATTCGTCTTTAACAATCCAAACGTTAAAGAAAGTTGTGGGTGTGGAGAAAGCTTTACAATATAGTTAAAAACAATTCGATGCACTAAAGACATTTTGATATCCTATTATTTATTTAATATGATCGAGTAATTATCATTGCTGCTCGTAAAAAATTAGATACTCTTCGCTTTTATACCCTTTAATATAAATTAATAATTTTAAATTTTCAGTTATGATTATTATTTATTAAACATCTAATTCAACACAACATCATAATCACGATTATACGTTAGATAATAAAAAATAAATCTCATAATTTTATTTAAACTAGATTTAATATCTATTGCTAACAAGAGTATAAAGTAGTACCAATCACAGTACCCAATTTATTCTCTTCTGTAGTAGGGTGATTCGTTGATGACCCAGTGCTAGTCCACTTCTATCGCTTTTTGAATGGTGGCGAGCGCTACCGAAGGTAGTTTATCTTTCAGAAATAGGTTATTTCCATTAGCATTGATAGGTGCCCGAAACTTGATTGTCGGTGATATAATATTTCTAATGATTAGTAGAATCTCTTGTAGTATAGGTGACCCCACTTTATAATCAATTGATTAATAATACATTTTACTAAAGGGTAATCTATATTACAAGATCTCTTTAAAAAAAGTATTCACATGTGCTGACAAAAGTCACCGGCTTATAGATCATTTTTATAATAAAACATAGTGAATATTGAAATTTTTTTGCTATAAGAAAGGTTAAATTTTTTATTATCGAATAAAATTTTAATTTATATTATTACAACCCTCATCGATTATAGTTTCAGTAAAATGCTTTCTTGAATTTTTTTAAAAATGTCAGTTTAATCGAGAAGTAAACCTTTTTAAATGTTTATAAGTTCTAATTATAAAAATTTGAAAAGGTTTACTTCTCGATTAGACTGACGTTTTTAAAAATTTAAGAAAGCATTTTTTGAAAAGTATAATCAATGAGGTTTTGTAATAACATAAATTAAAATTTTATTCGATAATAAAAATTTCAACCTTACTTATGGCGTAAAAATTTCAATATTTAATACGTTTTATTATAAAAATAATCTACAAGCCGGTGACTTTTGTCAGGGGAGTGTATCTCTTGATATCTTTTAGAAATAAAAATTCCTCCGTCGATGGTTCCTCAAAACGTACTTCCGGAAAATGTTTTACTGTATTTTCATGAAAGAACGCGCAGGGTGTAATTTTGAATTTTGACCTAAATTAAACTTAATCCGGCCATAATTCGAAATAACGCGCATGCGCGTTATTTCGCGAAAAAATGAATACTCCAATCATGAGCAACTTTGTAGTCAGTTTTGCCCTAGCATAAAAGGTTTAAATTATTGGTGTTTCATGGTTCTCATTCAATTTATATCTCACTGGACGGAATAAAGGCTACACAGGCAAGCATAAAGATTACCTGTGCTCAATGGGGATAGAATTGGAACGGAATAAAGATAAGATTGCCACGCCACCAATTTTTTGATCATAAATACTTAACCTTAAAAAAAATCAATAATCACTACTAATAACTAGGAAACGGAACCCGTTAAAATTCCGAAGCATAAGAAAACTCTTGGGATTTGAGTTTTTTAGTTTGAGATCTATAGTACTGTATTTCAAAATGTTACACATCACTCGTGATCTGCATCCTGCATACAATTGTCACGTGTGACGAATTTTATTGGTTTTTTCGGACAGACATTGCATGATCGTGCATTGAAATTGTCTAGAAGTATAAATCCTCCGCTTCGCTTCGGACAATAATCTTTATAAATTTATTTTTTTATTTTTTTTTAAGGTAAGGTCTTTATTAATGTTATATACTACAATTTTATTTAAATTCATTGGTACATATATATATTAAAGCATTATGAGACTTAAATTATATTTATAACTTAAACCTACTAGAATTATTTTATATTTCATTCATGTATAATTTGGATTTTTTGTGGTTTCTAATTAGTTATTAAAGCTGTTATTGTAATATTTCTTTTATATTTTACAGTTTATAAACAATAAATTTTTTTTTATTTTTAGTAACTGGTCAATTACTTGGTTATATTGGTTTTATTAGTTTAATATTTTCTATAATTAGTAAGAATATAATTAATTATATGTACTATTTTAATCATTATTTATTTAGAGTTTTGCCTTAAGTTACCTATTAGATATCATATTTGATTCTATTTGTAAGTATTCTATTTAAACTTTTTGACAGTAATTTAAGATCTGTATAATGTTAATTAACTTTATTATTATTATTTTTTTTAATATTAAAGTTTCTATCTTTGAAATATGATATTTTTATTCAAATATATAGGACACAGCATGTCATCAGGGGTTACCTTACATTGGAGGTTACAACTAGTCACATGTGCACTTTTGGTACCTAATTTAAGTAGTCTGCTTATACATTACTATATAAGTTTTACACTAGATGTCATACTTGCAAGCCAACTAAAGGTTTTGTTTATTTAAACTCTTTATATATACAATCTTCCTTGTATCATAGGAACATTTTCAATGTTACGCTCATCCAAGTTTTTAATACTGATTAATACTCTTAGAACTATTTTATCTTCAACAAAAAATTTACTAGAGTCTTTATGTTTCACATATACTAATCTAGTTTTATGCAACACATTATAGTTATCTAACACTTGTAGTTATAAGGGTTACTTGTTTAACCATTATATTACATTATTTTTATTTTTATAAAGTTTATTAGAATCTTAGTACTTATCTTTCTGACATCTTCTTTATCATTTCTTACTAGTCATAACTCAGAACTATTAGTTTTATTTCAAACTACCAATTCAGATAATCTAGTATAATATATTTTTGTATTCTTTTCTTCTAGTAAGTCTGACAGCCTGGTTGATTATATACTTCTTTACATATATTTGTTATCTGGTTTTAATCTTTAGTTCTTATAAAGATGTTTTGTAGGTTTTAACTAGTCTAATAGTATCATTAAAAGTTCATACTACTTCTTTATTCAAGAATTTTCAAGTGGGTTTCTGTTATCTTAGTTTCTTAGTCTTCTATATTTAGTAGTTTTATTATAGGTTTGTACTAAAGTCTTATATAACATTAGTTATACATTCTTCTATATATATGTAATGTTATATTTTGTATAAATGTCTTGAACTTCTAATGTTAATAGAATCTAACTTGGCATATCTGAATTATAGCTGCATAAAGTCAACCAATCAACAGAAGACAGTTACTGTACTGCAAATATAATTTTTAAATTTCATTATAGGTGGAATTTGAACTTTAAACCTGTCACTTGAAAAATGACAATCTAATTACTGCATTAAAATTGTTATTTTTAATTAACTATTATTTTATTTTTTTATTTTTTAAATATTAAGGTAATTACTTGTGACTCAGAATTTTATTAGTAGTATATTTGGCTAATAGATGTTTTACAACTACAGGAGGTAACCATAGGAAGAGTATACAACTAATTACTCATACAACTTTAGTTATTGTCTAATTTAAGTAGTCTACTCGAAGGTTCTACACTAGCTGCCATATCTGGAATCTGCTTATAGGTTTTCTATTTAACTACTCTGTTTTTGTATTCATCTACTTACTTCTGACCTTAGCCGATGTCAGTAAAAATATGCCATAACTACTAAGTCTTTAAAGTAGTTCACTCATATGAAGAATCTTTGATCTTGTACTAAACCTTTCAGAATCTTCTATATCTCATTCTTACAGCTAACCTAGTATTGCTATGGCCGAGACCAACACTGACATCAGGGTGTATCATTAAACCACTATGCTCTTGTATAATTCACTCCAACCTTGGTACTGACTTCACAATATATCCTTACTATTTTGGTATTCAATTCAAGTTCTACCAAGCTGTCATTTTAGATAGTCCAGAAAGATAAGTCAAAACCATACACCTTTGGTTCATGTATTTGCTAGCATATGCTCTTTTTCTCTGAAACCCAGAAATTCTGGCTGCCTGGTTGGTTTATCTGATCTCTCCTCAAAGACCAGCATATTTGCCTAGTTTTACAAGTTTTAGCTTCATTTTATAAGTCTAATCTTTACAGTAGCAACATCAAAGTTTCAGATTACTTCTCTACTCAGGTCTTTCAAGTAGGCTTCCATCTTCTTACCTGGTTCCTATAATTTACATAGCCTAATGACTTATCTTGAGTTTATACTGCCCAGCACCAGTTTGTGTTCTCTTGTACAATATTGTACAAGTGCCTAAACCTTCCAGTTATACTGGTATAACACAGGTTACAGGTATCTTATCTCAACCAATCACAAAAGACAGTTAGCCGTAATACAGAAAGAATTGCAAATTTTCACTGTTACTGGGATTTGAACTTTAAACCTGCTACTTGGGGTTGACAACCTATCCACTTCACTAGGTCACCACACCTCTTATTAACTTTATTATTAAGTTAACTTAGTTTTATAAATTTATATAGTTTTTAAGACTTATTTTGAGTTTATATTACCTAGTATTAGTTTTTTTTTTTTTGGTATTAAGGTGAGGCCTTGCTTATATCTTTATTAATAATTTAAAATAGTTACATATATATAT